TTAACTTGATACAATTTTCTGTTGATTTTTTGTGTACTTTATTGTTTTGAATTTTTGATTTGACCTACCCCCCTATTTGTCATGCTTTTGATTCCAATGGTATGTTTAAAATTTTCAGCAAGTTTATAGTTTAGGATATATGAGATTTTCAAAATAGTAAAATTTGCCTCTTATTAATATATGAAAAAAATATTATAAAAATATGAAATAAATACATAGAAACTTTTGGACATTATAATAATATATTGGATAATTTATATAGGTAAATGTCTTTTTTCTTTTTGGAAAATATTATATTTATACTATATGTACTTATGATTTAACTTTATATTATATGTGTTCTAAGCCTATGCAATGGATTGAATATGATTCCGCCAATTTGTACCATATTCTTGAATGAAGTGGCAAGCTCCTCCAACACGATCTTCATACACTCCATCATTTTTCCAATATGCACCACTATTGGTCTTCTTTAACATCAAGCCATCTACACGTCTATCTACGACCCTACTATGAACAAACCAATGTGCATTGTGAAAAAATTCAAAGATGAGAGGACGAATACTTCGATCATCTTGCTCCCAACCATCGTAGAGGAATTGCCCTACTTGTATCAATGCTTGTTGACTTGCTTGGGCACTTCTCCACTCTCTTGCTTGTTGAAGTTGTCGCTCCATATGCTTGCCACTCCATCCTATTGCTTGTCTAGCAAATCTTAAGGCACTTTTGACTCGAATAGAAGGTGCATATGAATTTCTTCCATGAATCTCATTGGCCAACGTTGCTAAATGACTATGGCATATTTGAAAGAATCTTTATAAAGATTCTTCTCGTATATCAAAATGACCTCCTATAGCTCTTTCTATGCTAGAATATTCAAAAAGGTCAAGATTACTAGAAAGTTTATGTTCATCTATTATTTTCTCTGTACGAACACTAAGCTCCAATCTCATGCCTAAAAGATAATTTCTTGATATATCTTCAGACATTCCTTCCCACCTTGCTAATAGGTCTCGCATTTGATTTAGTCTAATACGCATAGTGCGAATTATCCTAGGGATATCATCTAAACATTATTTTTGTATGACAACCAATATTGCATGGCATAACTCTTGATAGAGCTTGACTTTGACTATACGATTGTCTATCTTTGACTTAAAAGATAATGATCCATATCCTTCTATATTGCACATTTCGTATACTTGACTTTCTATAATCCTTTGACTTTGTAATTGAGTATCATTAAATTTGAAGAGCATAATATTATTCTCTCGAAAATTGACTCCATAGTCATAGAGATTCTTACCAAGAGAAAAAGTATGACCCATTTCTACAGGGTTTAAGGTTTAGGATTTAGGCTTAGGGTTTAGGGTTTAGGGTAACATGGATGTCGTAGAGGTTTTTGATCCTCAATATCTCTCAATAAATCACAATTTTTTTTGTTGTATAATTTTGCCAAGGCTTAGAGTGATCCAAAGACCTCTATAAATGTTTTTGTTTATCAAAAAGATGTGTTTCATTTTCTATAATTTAGGATTTAGAAATCCTAATTAGGGTCTTCAGACCCTGATTAGAGTTCTGACTTGCATATTTCTTCTCATGTGAGAAGTGTGTATGGAGTATAAATGCGTACAGAACTCTGCTTACTTAAAGCAATCCCCCATAGATAGGTGGTTCACCTAGTCCAGGTCTAGAGAGTCCTTCAAGCTGCTTATCCATATGTCTTTGCCCACTCTCCACCTACTATACCACCGGCTCTCCTTTCATCAGGATCATCGTTGACGGAGTCAATATCAGCTCCATCTTTGACTTCTGCAAGACTCCCGAAGGCGACGTTGGTGCCTACCTCCAATGCATCCGTGAGTGTAGCCTTCGAGACTACGCTGCTTACTGTAGCGTCGTCTGTAGTCACATTATAGATTCTACAAAATCAGACATCGACATGCTTGTTAATCACCCTGCAGTCACGTCCATTCCTCAATCGACCTCGACCAAGACAACAGAGGGCTCAGCAGTAGCGGGTACTATGTGAGCCCGACCAACATCATCCTAGGCAATGAATTCTACAATGCGGCACACCCTGTACTCTAGTGGGCCGAGCTCGAGTGCTCCAACCACTGGCTCAAACTGTCACATCCCGATGGTCCATCGTAGGACAAGTCCTCGTACCTCAACGCTCGATCGTAGCTCCCCAATGCACCAACTCGCGATAACCCTTCATGACACCCTATGCTCTGATCTCTCGTCGTTGCTTCTTGTGCCGCCGTAGGCATCCACTGTAGCTGCTCCGACATATGCACTAAAAACCACACTCAACAATGGTAATTCTGCCCATCCTTACATGGCTGTGTCCAAGTACCGAGCCGAATGCAGCCAATACTCAAATACTTAAATGCACCCAAACTCGCACGCATCGCCTTTCTAAGAGCTCTCTTTTTTGAAAGTCCCTACATGCTATCTCCGAGTAGTAATATCGCCACGGATTGCAACACCTAGCTTTCTCGCCCGGATGGACAAATGGGCCCTCCATCCAATCATGGCTCCTCCCTCTCATACATCGCCTCACCTAGAATTCCAACATCCGGAACTCATTGCACCCGTACATGTCTATCACCGGCCATGCCTCCTCATCCTCGGTGTTTGATGACAGAAAATTGTTGAACGATGCATCAAGAAATGTCTGTAATCCTAGCGACCAGGTCTCTCGGCCCCCAACAGTGATGCCAATCCCAAGTTCAACCCTCGCATGTCCGTTCAACTTGCTCTCTTCTTGCCTCCCCATAAAAGCCCCCTTCATCGCTCCCCGCCTCGATCCGCGATTCCTCGTTTGCCATCAAAAATCCCAAAAACTCACCCTTGGACACCGACGACCTCGGCGAGCTCCAAAAGAAATTGTTGAATGCGTGCAACTCTAAACCCTACCCCCAAAAGTTGTGGCTCCTCTGGTACATCCCATCCAACGTGTCATCTCGAGGCGCCTCTACATCATGCATTGCCGTGGATAAGAACAAGGTTCACCACCGAATTGCATACTGTGCTTGCACATCCTGCAACATAGGCATGTAGTCACCCATCGATTTATACAACGATGGCGACGATAAACTCCCCCTTCTAGTGATGCTAGTCTCTCCGCTCCACCGCTCATAAATGGTGACTTTTTAAACCAGGTTTGCGTATAAAGTGGTTCGTGATAAGCACGAAAAGAGTGGTGTACATGCGCAATTGGAATTGGTTAGTAATCCATACCTCGCGAGTATGTGCATCTATTTTCGTTGACGTCTATTTATTAGTTTGCTTCGTGATGATTTTAACCAAACCGCACTGTAAACTGACCTACTTAACTAGTGAAATTACTTTATATAAAGTTCAAGTTCACATGTTAATGTTCGTTGAGTTATTGGTTGGAAAGGGGCTATAGGTTCCTTTCTTGCCCCACCTAAGTTGCTTGTGAATTTCAGAACTTGTTTCAAAGTAATCTTTGTCTTCCTTTTCAAACATGCTGTGAAGAGCATGAGTATGAGAGCGTATTGCATTTGTACTATTGTAATGTCTTTGGCTGGTCATGACAGGGAGGGAATTTCGAAGCTGAAGATTTAGAATTTAGTTTGAAATCACGAGGTGGTAGAAAAAGACTGAGACTCAATCAAGTAGATGATCTCTTGCCCCGAAAGCATGTATCCCAGCCTCATGAATAGATGGTCGATTTTGTTACATTTTTATAGCATTAGTCTTAGCTTGAAGATAAATGTGTCATTGTAATTTTTTTCTTTTGGTGTATATATATTTTATTAATGTAAATGCGCAGCTTGCAATTAAGAGAACTTAGAGAATCCGTCAATTGATCGGTGCCAAAGGTCTAGGATTTAGAGTTCAGTGTTTGAATCTAGCAAAGCCTAAACTAAATGAGGTAAGAATTATGTCTTTCCTTTTTAGTGCAGATATGGTATCTGAGGTAGAATTCAAATGTGATGCAAATTCTGGAAGATGGGATTTTCATTAGATTGTGAATCATATCTCTGCAAATTATATCTCTACCTTTGAATCTAGATGTATTAAACCATAAACCTGGTTTAATTGGAGTAGAGTTGATGGTTTATGGTGTGGCATTTGGAATATAAATACATGCAAAATACCTGCAGTTGAATACTTTTATGTCAAGTACCTCTGTCAATTTCTCCAGGAGTTCGTTCACCAAAAAATCTTGATAAAGAAAATCCTGTTAAAGTATCTCCATTTGTATCTTGTATGTTGAATTGTCATCAAATGTGTACTCTAATTGTTATTCTCAACTAGACATTTATAAGTTTGAATTCAATCTATAAATATTAGTTTTTTTAATTTATAATTTAGAATTAGATAAAAGAACATGATATTAAGGATTTTAAAGATTAGCCTTTTCCTTTTGTGGTAACTTTTAGTGATTTTTGATGTAATTTAGGGTTCAGGGTTTAGGATAGATTACATTGGGTCTAACCATAGAATCGTATGGTATGAGATCTGTTAAACTTGGTCGTCTCATTGTGCCTAGTATACAATCCGTCGACCTCAACAATATTGATTGTGCATGTTTTTATGACTCAGATTTATACACCACTAGCTTTGCACAGTTTTACTTGGCAAAGAACAGTGCAATTTGTCGTTCAAAAGCTCACAGGTATTCCATCGGAGTGGCATGATTCTGTCCTGTTTATTCGTTTTCATTAGCATGTGCGATTTGTAACCAGGAGGTTGGTTGTTTAGAGATAACGCGAATCACTCTGAAATGCATGCGACCACCAACACTGGAGCAACAAAGTAACCTGTTGGTTTAGATGATTGTCCTTGACATGAGCTCTCTTGTCACAACGGCTCAACAGTAATGTCAAACTAGCACAAGAATAGTATGTACCAGAGACTTTTTATCTAGACGTGCACAAGAGACCTTAAACCAACTTCAGTGACCTTTAATTTGATGATTTGGTCAGACACTTGTGCACCCACATGTGCCAGGAAATCATGCATAAGCCAAGTTGATCATTGTACTCGGTCTTTCCTTCACAAGTCACGGTGCAAATATGTGCATAGTGAACGTCGCCCGACACCTACAACGCACTTACACGATTGTAGAATAAAGTGAGAACAATTGAAGGTCAAATACAAAAATCGATAGGTTTAATTTTCAATTGTACTGTTTTAGAAGAGAAACCTAAACCCACCACCCACCACCCGCCGCATTTACAACTTTATGTATAATTAAAAGTTTCACAAATTGAGACACCTTCCGTGCATCAGGGCCTCGAAGCGAATATTGAGTTCACTTTTACATTCAAGATCCCCGAACACAATATTTGTCTTTCTCCCTAGATGCATTTCCAGAATGTGATTGAGGCAATCAATTTTCTGCTACGCTCTCCAAAGAAAGTTCAAATCTGGGTTTCGGAACCAAGAACAGCGGTTGCTTCTTGCTGACGGAGAGGCCTATTGTCTCAGTCATGTCCACCTCAGTTTGACCTTCCGGCAGAGACCAGTCGAATACATAGAGGAGATTCGCTAACATCAAGGCCACCATCGTATTCGCCAGCCTGTATCCTGGGCACATCCGGAGGCCTTTTCCGAACGGCATGAGCTCGTAGGGATCACTTGTGCTCATGTGATCCACGTGAGGGCGTGCAAGAAATCTATCAGGATCAAAGCTGTCAGGGTTGTCGTATACACTTGGGTCTCGGTGGATTGCGAAGGAGTTCACTAGCACCTCCGTTCCTGCCGGGAAATGGTACCCAAGAAGCTCTGTAGGCTCTCTTGATTCATGGGGAAGTAAGAGCGGAGGATGCAGCCGGAAATTCTCTTTCATCACGGCTTGCAGAAAAGGGAGTTGTTGGATGTCGGATTCTTCCACGAGGCGCTTGGAACCTATCACTGAATCCATCTCAGTCTGTGCTCGCTCGATCAGTTCTGGCCTCCTGATGAGTTCGGCCATAGCCCATTCTGAAGTGTTCGAACTAGTCTCCGTCCCAGCATTCAACATTTCCTGTTCTACAGACCAGCTGTTGGTTACTCTCGATGCCCTACACGTCCTACGCCAGTGACTAAGAAATATCATTATGCAAAATAGTGCTCAAATGAGAGACACAAAATCTCTTACCTGTAGTAGCTTTAGAAGGTCCTGGTCAGGGAGATTAGTGCCGTTTTCGAATGGCGTCTCCATTAGTACATCTTCAAAATCTGGGACATAGCTTGGGTCGTTTTTCATTTTTTTATAATTGTTTCTGTGGCTGTCGAGGTCGAAAAAATCAGCCGTGAGTTTGTCTGAAACATCGCGGATCTTGGAAAACTTGGATGCATGTCCTTGTAATTTAGTGATGAAGCTCAAGTAGGGCACAAAGTCGCTTATGACTACAGAACCAAGAAGTTCAAAGACACTGGAAGTCATCTTCTGAAGGTCTTGTCCTTGCTTCTCACCATCGTCTCCACTGACACCGTAGAACCTGCGCACGCGCATGCGGGTGTAACAATGTGAGTAGACAAGAACACTAAATCACTAAGTGAAAACACAATGTAGCAAGGCCCTGCTTTCATGTAGGATGAGACTCTAACAAGTTCATACTGAGAAAAGAGGAGTGTCTTTCTTTTACTTAAGTTGCAAAACCTCTCTAGAAGCAGGTTCGACATATTGCATCAGCATCAAAATTGTAGAGAAGTTGAAAATACTTGAAGAGATGAATGGGGTTTCAGAGTTAAGACGAAATTGAGGTCACCCTGTGTGGAAAGGAGCAAAACTTCACAAAATCCTTGTTGAAGTTTTGATGAGTTGAAAAGAAAAAAGCTCCAAAGATGATTTTTCCTTCAGGGATTTGAAGTCATACACCTGTTCTGGAGAGGATATCGTGTGTCTTCTAACTACCGTAGCAATTTATTCCATCAAGAGAATACCCCACTACTCTGAGAAAGCAAGCTATGGCGTACCTCTTGCCGACGACCATCCGGGTCATGTTGTTGGAAGTTGTGCCATGCAACCAGGTTTGGAGATTCACTGGATTGCCCTTTTCCGACTCCTCTAGAAGAACTTTCATCATGCACTGGATCTCCTGTGCTCTTGTAACTTCGTAGGAGGCATGACGCCTTGGGGAGAAGAGCTCTGTATTCAGAAGCCTGCGCAGCTTGCGATAATAGGGTCCATACTCAGCGAGGCCGATGTTTCTGTAGTTCTCGTCATTGTTGTTCCAGACGGTCCATGAGAACCTCTTCGGCCGCGAAGCAAAGCTTGCATCAACGGTTGTGTAGAACTCCTTAGCCACGGCAGCCGTGGAAATCACTAAACATGGCTTGGCCCCTGGTGGCACAATGCATTTCAAGGCTCAGGATAGGGAGGATCAAATGGGAGACATCAACTGACAAGGCAACAGCAACAGAATTGTTGGACTGTGAAGGGAACGTTGGAGCCACACCTAACCGGAGATACATGAGACCTCCATACTTGCCGGCAAGTTTGTGCAGGTTTCTGTGGGGCAGGTCTCCCAACGCTGAAAAGTTTCCCACAACTGGCCAAGGCCAAGGCCCTGGTGGGCATCGCCTTCGCTGCAGAGCCTCAGCATGGAAGTAAAGCACCACGACAGAAATAAGCACTGCAGCTACAAGAACATCGGCGAGCTCAAATCCAAACAGTAGTCCACCCTCAGCCATGTTTATGATTCCTGTCGATCACGCTAGTAGTACGCCCTTTAAACCTACCAGGTGGCCAGGTTTTTGCAAGCCCTGGAAGCTAACTTGCGGCCGACGACCATCATAAGTACCCACCAATTTTGGCACCATGACAGTGGCAGAGTGAAATACTAGCGTCATCCAACGCCGTGAAATGACGTGTGTCACGACGGCTGGACAAAAGATCCAGTTGTAATTGGGTTTCAACGATGCGATGCGAGTGTGTGGTCCGCTAGGACCATGACGAGCATGGCCACACGATTCGGCACTGCGCGAGTACGAAAAGTGCCACTGGAAACTGCACACTTTCAAGCAGCCACGCGAAGGTCACCAAGGCAGCAACGCGGTCCAGCTCAGCCAGAGGATTACCCTTCCCCTCACTTTGTTGTGATTAGTTTGTTTTTCTCTTTGTTTTGTTGGGTGGTTGCGTTTTTTCCTTTTTTTATAAATGAATAAACTTGAACCATTCATGTGGTACAAAAAAAAGGTGTCAGAGTGGGAAGATATATGAGGGAAAATATGAGTGGAAAGATATATGTGGGAAAATAATGCAATTCTACATCAAAAAATCATCCTTTTAAATGAAATCCTTGAAACTATAATAAATGAAACTTTTAAGTACAAAAAAAACTATAAAATTTACATATTGTCTACAAAAAAATAAAAATGTGATAATCCAAATTAGTAAATGCTTTATAATTTGTGAAAAAATGTAATTTAGGATTTTGGGTTTAAGGTTTAGAGTTACAAGGGTGTGCCCAGTTTAGAGTTTAGGGGTTAGGTTTAGGGTTTAGGATTACAAGGGTGTCCTAGAGGTTTTTGATCCTAAATATCTCTCAATTTATCATAGTTTTTTCTGTTCTAAAATTTTGCCAAAGCTTATATTGTTCCAAAGACCTCTATAAATGTTTTTGATTTTCAAAAATATATGTTTTATTTTTTGTAATTTATGATTTATAAACCCTAATTAGGATTTAGGATTTAGAGTTAGGATTAGAAATAGAATAAGGGTTGCATTTGAATAGAAACATACCTTTCTTATGGATATCAAGTAATGTAAAAGTAAGAGAATTTTATAGGAAATAAAACTAAATCCCTCGATATTCCTCTCTAGACTCTAAATTGCATTTCCCCCCTTTAGTATCCTTGGGTTTAGGATTTAGGGTTTAGGTTTAGGGTTTAGGGTTTAGATTACATGGGTGTCCTAGAGGTTTTTCATCCTCAATATCTCTTAATGTATCACAGCTTTTTCTGTTGTAAAATTTTGCTGAGGCTTAGAGTCACCCAAAGACCTCTATAAACGTTTTTGTTTTTCAAAAAGATGTGTTTTGTTTTCTGTAATTTAAAGTTTGAAAAAAATAATAAAGAAATCTTAAAAAAATAAAAAAATAAAAATTTTAAAGAAATAATAATATCCTTAAAAAAATACTAAAATAAAAAACCTTTAAAAAAGTATAAAAAATTCATTAAAATACTTAAAATAAAAATTCTAAATAAATTCTACATAAATCTTAATCAAATCTTAATGTATTCCTAAAAAAATCTCAATGAGATTCTAAAAATCTTAAACAAATTCTAACAAAATCCTAAATAAATCTTAACAAAATTCTAATTAAATCTTAATTGAATCCTAATAAAATTCTAACCAAATTCTAATTAAATTCTAATCAAATATTAATTAAATACTAATCAAATCCTAACCAAATTTTAATCAAATTCTAATCAAATCTTAAACAAATCTTAGCCAAATCTTAAATCAAATCTTAATCAAATTCTAATCAAATCCTAATCTAATCTTAAAAATTTATAAACCAAATCCTAATCAAATCCTAATTAAATTTTAATCAAATTCTAACAAATTCTAAATAATTCCAATATAATATAAAGTAAATCTTAATTAATTACTATAGCTATTTTAAAACATTAATAAATAATAATCAAACCATTAATTTTGATTAAATTTTTATTCACATTTCAATCCACAAGCAATTAATATGTACACAAAATTTGAAGAGAATCACCTATTGAAAGAAAAGCTTCCAAAACCTCTTGGATGTTGGTTGCCTTTCTTTTCCAATTCAAATGTTAATCTTCCAACAACAATTTCTTTTTGCTGAACTATTAAATTTTTCTAAAAATTGTATGTTTTGTAGAATTCTAAATTTTAATTACTTTCAATGATTTTTGATTCAATTGAACTAGCAAATGTTGCAAGATTGCAAAAATCCTCTCTAATCCTAAATTTCAAACTTCTAGGACCATAAGCCACAAAAACTTTCATAACCTTTAATTTAATCACTTGATTAATATTAAATTTTTTACACATTTAAAACAAGCACAATAACAAATTGATAAATTTTTATTCTCAAATATACTAAAATAGTCACAAAATCCTCAAATTTGTAACCTTATTTTTATTTTTTAAAATCTAAATTCACTAAGTATATTTTTCACTTTGAAAGGCCTTCAAAACTTCAGCATATTTTCAAAACACATGAAATTAACTCTAAAATATACTTGCATAAGTTTACTCTTAGACTATACTCTTGAATTGTCTAAAGAACCTTGGAGTTGCCATAGGTACATAGTTATGTGCCTTGGGGTGTGATTTAACCTAAGTTTATAATAGGTCCTCTTTTGGTATTAATTCTTCATATTTTGAGGTAATTTTTGCTAAAAATTATTCTCAATCTTGTCTTAAAAATACCTATATTAATTATTTATCTCATTTATTTTGATTTGGCTCATTTAAGCTTTTAAAAAATAAATAAAAGTTTATTTTTTAAAAAGGTAATATTAGAATTTATTAATTTTTATTACCTTCTTGTCTATTATATATATTTTTAAGATAATTTTTTAAAGTATTTTCATTTAAGTTATTTTATAATATAATCTTTTATTTCTTTTTTTATCATATAGTTGTATTATTATACAATACTATTTATTGGTAAGCTCAAGAAGTGTTGAGGTAAAAGATAAAGATGTTGAGATAAATAGGTAATAGTAAAAGTAGAATAAGTTATCTTGTAGAGAATATTCTCTTAGGTAAGTTACTAATGGTCAAAGGCAACTAAGGACTAAGTGGCGGCTAGGGTCTCGACAGGCGGCTAGGTTTAATGTCTCGACAGACGGCTAGGTTTAGAGTCTCGAGAGGCAGTTAAGTTTAGGGTCTCGAGTGGCGGCTAGTAATAGATGAATGTGGATGAATTCTATACATATTGGATGTGAACTCTGATTATAAGTAACGGGTGTTGGAAGTAAGAGACATCTCATTCCACACTTCTCTTATGTGAAACCTTGCTGATTTCTACTTACTTGTGTTATGCTTATAGTATTTCTTCAATAGGTTATGGGCCCACACACTCTCTGTTGTGCTATTCAAGTAAGTTGAAGTCATTTTCTCTTTGTTGCTTTTGTGTGGATTAGATCTTATGGTATTTGTTGATGTTAGGTTTGTTGGTACAAGGAGGCTATTGGTATTAAGCTTGTACATCTCTAACATTGCTTTGTGGGTTCTTATCTCCTTGCTTTGTGAGGTTAAGACTTTGTTGAAAGACCTTGATAGTGTCTTTTTGAGTTGGTGAAGTTTCTTCATTATTCTTGAGTGTTTTGATGAGAAAGTGATTAAGACGAGTGATTGTGAGTTCCATGAGGGTGCAATCACTTGTAGAAAGCTTCACAAGTTGAGTTGAAAGTGTTTTCAGTGAGATACCACTCTTTTGTTCATAACAGGGCATTCTGAGATTCTGCTAGTGCATACTTCGTTTGGTGATTTTAAGCTTTTAGAGACTCCTTCTCTCAATATTTTTTGATACACTCCTCCTTAGACATGGCTTCTAGTGAGGGTGAAGGTTTGAGAGTGATTGAGAAGTTTAGAGGCAACAATTTCTACCATTGGAAGGTCAAAATAGAGCTTTTGTTGGCATCTTTGGACCTTTGGGATATTGTAGATGAGAGTGAAGACTCTCCAAGCATAGATGCAAGCCCTAAGGACCACAAGGACTTCAAAAGACGTGAAAAGAAGGCTTTTGGCATGATTGCCACTAATTTGGATGAAGCCAACTTTTCTCACATTATCCATTGCAAAGGACCAGCGGAAGCATGGAAGACACTTTGCAACATATATGAGAGCAAGAACTTGTCCAACATCCTCTTCACAAGAAGGAAATTCTTCACTTGTAAGATGGAAGAAGGTGAAGACCTCATGGCACATGTTAATAAGGTAAAGGCCCTTGCAAATCAACTAGCAATTATTGACAAGCCTTTAGAGGATGGTGACATTGTCATGACTCTATTCATGAGTCTTCTCGAGTCCTACAACTACCTCATTGTGGCATTGGAGTCTTTGAGGTTGAAGGAGCTTACAATGGACTATGTGACATGATTTGTTAACAAAGGCATTGGTCAAAGATAGACATCATATGTTGACAAAGGCATTAGGTTTGAAGGGCTTTGACGATTAGCAAAGTGGCAGTGTTGAGGTAAAAGATAAAGATGAATAGATAATAGTTAAAGTAGAATAAGTTATCTTGTAAAGGATATTAC